GCTGCTGCAGGTCCCTGCCAGTTACCACTGAACGTAATGGAGGATGTGCAGCGCGAACTCGTCGATATCAATAACTGGGGAATCAGCGTCCTTGAAATGGTGTGCTGCTGCTGCTGCTGCTGCTGCTGCAACTGCTGCTGCTGCTGCTGCTGCTGCTGCTGCTACTGCTACTACTACTGCTGCTACTACTACTTCTGCTACTGTTACTGCTGCTGTTGCAATTTTTATTACTTCTGCTTCTGCTCCTGCTGATTCTGCTATTATTATTATTATTATTATTATTATTATTATTATTATTATCACTGCTGCTGCTACTACTACTCCTACTACTACTACTACTACTGCTGCTGCTGCTGCTGCTGCAGAGCCACCGGGGGTCTCACTTCAAGAAGGTGTTGGCTGAAGCAAGCGAAGAAGCGACTCGTCTTTTGGAGGTTCCGCCTTCGCATGCTTTGCTGTTTATGTCTGGAGGAGCAACAGCGCAGTTTGCTGCAGAGGCTCTCAACTTATTAACCCCAGAAACCCCAAATGCAGACTACGCTATCACAGGGTAAACCCTAAACCCTAAACCCTAAACCCTAAATCCTATACCCTCCTCCACTTCCGGTTCTAGCGCATGCCGACGATCTAGGGTTTAGGGTTTAGGGTTTAGGGTTTAGGGTTTCCGTTTTAGGATTTTAGGGCTGAGGAGATAGGATTCAAGGTTTTGACTCTAGACCGCAGGCTTTAGGGTTTAGGGTTTAGGGTTTAGGGTTTATGGTTTAGAGTTTAGGGTTTAGGGTTTAGGGTTTAGGGTTTAGGGTTTGCGAGCAGGTACTGGAGTAAGTACGCTATGAAAGAAGGCCAAATGTTTGGACAGATGAAAGCAGTGACCGACTCCTCTTCAAACAATTTCTGCAAAATCGAACCCGTTGAACTCTGGGATATCAGCAAAAAAGTAACGCTGAGGGTTTAGGGTTTAGGGTTTAGGGTTTAGGGTTTAGGGTTTAGGGTTTGGGGTTTAGGGTTTAGGGGTTAGGGTTTAGAGTTTAGCGGGTGGCGTTAGAGGTTAGGGTTTAGGCGGTGTGGTTAGGGGTTAGGGGCCAGGGTTTGGGGTTAGGGTTTAAAGGTTAGGGGTTTGGGTTTAGGCTTTAGGGGTTAGGGGTTTGGGTTTAGGGTTTAGGGTTTAGGGTTTGGGGTTTAGGGTTTAGGGTGTGTGTTTGGAGTCACAGCTGAACGGCGGTTGGGAGCAACGCTGAAACCCTAAACCCTAAACCCTAAACCCTAAACTGTTTTGTTATCTGTATATAAAAGTGCATTGACAGCAAAATAAGCGCAGCAAGCTGAGTACAACAAAGAAGAGTTAAATGGAAATAACAAACTAACGAGCAGAAAAACAAAGAAAACATGACAAACAATATATTTGTTATATGTATATATATATATATAAACAATATATTTGTTATATATATATATATATATAACAAATATATTATTTGTCATGTTTTATTTGTTTTTCTATGTATATATATATATACATACATAAATATATAAATATATAAATATATAAATATATATATATATACAGAACAACACCAATAATATTTTAAAGTTTTGTTTATGCAGGCAGCGTACATTCACTACTGCGACAACGAGACAATTCACGGCGTCGAATATCCCTATGCGCCTTCTTTCGCTGAACTGTCGCCTAAAACTGCGGTTGTCGTTGACTGCGCGTCGAACATCGCAACAAAACCCATCGACTGGGGACTTGTAGACCTCGCCTATGGTTTGCCTTACTATATATATAATATATATAATATATAATATATATATATATATGTGAATATATATAAATATATATATATATATGTATTTATATTTATTTGTTTATTTGTTTGTTTATTTGTTTGTTTATTTGTGTATGGATAATACTAGTCTATTAAGTAAGTATGCATATGCATATATATATATATATATGTATATATATATAATATATATATGTATATATATATATGTATATTATATATATATTATATATATATCCGATATAATATGACAATATATTGCTTAAGTGCAATGGACATCATAATATAATATAATGTTTTGCTGTGCTGCTCGCGAGTGTGCTGCTGCTGTTGATGCTGCTGCTATCGTTGATGCTTCTGCTGGTGAACGGCATTGAGGTAACCGCCTTTGCATTCATTAACAGCAGCAGCAGCAGCAGCAGCAGCAGCAGAGGGGTCTTCTGTTGTGTGGGGTGTCTGCTCAGCTGGAGCGCAGAAAAACATCGGCATAGCCGGCGTCACCATAGTGGTTGTGAATCGAAGCATATTGAGTGAGGGCTTAGGGTTTAGGGTTTAGGGTTTAGGGTTTAGGGTTTAGGGTTTAGGGTTTAGGGTTTAGGCGCGTCGGGGTGTACACACAGGTAGCGTTCAACTGAGGCAGCAACCACGCACCCCTCCAGCAGCAAGTTGGCTAGCAGCTAGTTAGCTAGCTAGCTAGATAGCTAGCCAGCTAGTAAGCTAGCTACCTGGCTAGCTAGATAGCTAGATAGCTGAGCAGTTGGCTAGTTCAGTGGCTAGCTGACTAAGCAGGTAGCTAGCTAGCTAGACAGCTAGCTATAGAAGTTGAGTCAGCCAGCCTGCTGAGCATCCATCTGTTTCGGTAGTTGGTGGCTAGCTAGCTAGGCTAGCTAGCTAGCCAACTAGCCAGCTAGCTAGCCAACTCTTCAGCTAGCTAGCCATCTATTCAGCTAGCTAGCCAGCTCTTCAGCTAGTCATCTAGCTAGCCAATTAGCCAGCTAGGAACCCAACTAGCCAGCTAGCTATAAAGCTATCCAGGTACCCATCTACCTATCCAGTCAACTAGCTAGCTAGCTAGCTAGCTAGCCAGATAAGCAGATGGATAGGTAGCAAAGGATTAATGTGCATTTATATACGCTTGATGCATGCTTGCAGAGGAGAGCCCTTGGCTTGCATGCCCTTCGGTGTTGAACTACTCGAAGACTTTGGCGGCGTCGAGCTGCTTAAATACTCCACCCGCATTTAATATATTTGTTGCTGGTAAAGTGATGCAGCACTTAAGAAGAGAGGGCGATTTAAACTACTGGGATACGCAGTGCTGCACTAAGAGCCTTGCGGTGTATAGGCAGTGCGATAATAGTAATGGTTTCTATAATGCACCCGTCGAAGAAACGTTCCGCTCGAGGGTCTCTGTACGCTTTCTTATCACCAAACATTTGCATGAAATTCAACAAGAATATGATGATGCATGCGCATGCACCAGCAGCAGCAGCAGCAGCAGCAGCAGCAGCAGCAGCAGCAGCAAAAGGAATGACGAAGAAACACGAAAAGAATCCAAAGCAAAACACCAGCACAATGAAGTCGCCGCTCATCAACAACAAAAAATAAAGGAGGCCTTACAAGAAGCAAAAGACAAAGACAAACAACTCACAGACATCTTCTTGGAAAAAGCAGAAAAAAATAATATGATATGCCTTGTAAACCCTAAACCCTAAACCCTAAACCCTAAACCCTAAACCCTAAACCCTAATCCCCAGACCCTAAGCCCTAAACCCTAAACCCTAAACCCTAAACGCTAAACCCTAAACCCTAAACCATAGAACACAGGGAAGTGGCGCGATTCACATAGAAAACAACAATAAGCCCTAAACCCTTAACCTTAACAACATTGTCTGCCCAGTACAGCAAAGATAAACCCTAAACCCTAAATCCTAAACCCTAGACCTTAAACTGTAAGCATCCTTCCTATCTACGCTAAACGCTAAGCCTAAAACCCTAACTAGACTCCTCCCCCTAAACCCTAAACCCTAAACCCTAATTTGCGTTTCTGTACAGAACGGGCATCGCTCTCTCGGCGGCTTGCGAGCCTCTTTGTACTGTGGGGTGACTATGGAGCATGTGGAGCATTTGCTGCACTTCATGCAGGTAAAACCCTAAACCCTAAACCCTAAACCCTAAACCCTAGACAGGCTTTGCCCAAAGAGGCGAGCAGATATATTGCGGCAGACGCGCCAACATGAATGTAAGAGGGTTTATAATGATTTAGGGTTGAGGGTTTTGGGTTGGTGTTCAGGAGTTCCAAGAAGAATACGACGTCAATTGATTGAGGTGTATGTACACCGCAGCTGCAGCAGCAGCAGCAGCTGCAGCAGCAGCAGCTGCTGCTGCTGCTTACCAACCCTAACTGCATGAATTCATGCAACGCCACCCTATAACCCTAAAACGAAGAACAAAAACTCCCTCTAAAATGCGTCTGTTTGTCGGCAAACCTGGCATCGGGCTGCGGTGTACATACACCTCAATACTTGCTGCAGTGTACACATACACCTGAGCAGCTGTCGGGGTGTACGTACACCCGAAATGGGGTGCACAAGTCCGTACACCTGAAAAGGCAGATGTTCCTCAACCAACTCTTGCTGCAGCAGCTGCTGTTCATGCTGCTGCTGCTACCGCTGCCGTTGTTGTTGCTGCAGCTGCTGCTGCTGCTGCTGCTGCTGCCAGGAAAGATGAAGAAACGAAGTGGAGAGCTGTAGCTGCTTCTCCTTAACGGCACCCTAAAGAGAAAAATCGTCTCCTCTGCGCAGCAGCTGCTCTTTCTGCTTCCTTCTGCTGCTGCTGCTTCCTTCTGTTGCTGCTGCTGTTGCTGCTGCTGTTGCTGCTGCTGCTGTTCCATGTGTCTGCGGCACCCGCACCCGCAGCACCCACTAGTTATGTGGGATTTTGCTGCAGCAGCTTCCTTCACCTGGCCTGCGTCTTTCTCAGCTTTGCTGCTCCTGCAGCAGCAGCAGCTGCTGTTGCAGCTGCTGCTGCTGGGCAGGGTAAGTGTATGGGTTGCATCAGAGCGGCTTTCCCGCTGCTACTGCTGCCATTTCTGCTGCAGCAGCAGCTGCTGCTGCCGCTTCTTCTTGTGTTGCTGCTACGGTTTGGTAGTCATTGCGCTGCCCTCTCGCTGGAGGTGTATGCTCAGCAGCAGAAACAATATCTTGTAAGAACGGCGAGTCTGAAGACCCGCGTTTGAGCTGCCGCAGCTGTCCCTCCATCGCCCCCTGCACTGACAATGCCAGCAGCAGCAGCTCAGGGTTGTCCTGCAAGTCTTTTGCTAGCTGCTTCATTGTGTTTGCGGTTGTCGCAGCAACAGCTGCTCCTATTTGCTGTTCTGGTGTGGGTTCGTTCTGTTCGTCTTCATCATCTTCCTCTCCCTGCTGCTGCTGCTGCTGCTGCTGCTGCTCCTGCTGCTGCTCCTGCTGGTCCTGTACCAGCTTCTGCGCAAGCATATCTATAGACTGAGGTGTGATGAGGGGGCTGCTGCTGCTCTGCTCTGCATCAAATATCTGCTCTGCGATTGCTTCAGCCATTTGCTGCTGCTGCTGTTCACTGAGGCTTGCTGCTGCTGAGACTAGCTGAATCGCCTGCTGCAGCATATCTTTATCTGCAGCAGCAACAGCAGCAGCAGCCTCACTTCCGGGTGGAGCGAAATGCTGCAGCAGCTGGACCAGCAAATCCGGATCCAATTCTGCTGTTTGCTGCTGCTGCTGCCCCGGCTGTATAGGCAGCTGCAGCAGCTTCTTTGATAGTTTCCACGCATTGTATATCTCTCTGGCCATTAGCAAGAACCCCACAATAGACAAAACGCTGCTGCTAATAAACGCAGCCTTTAATACTTGCTGCAGCACAGCAGGTAAACCTACCAAGAGACCAACCAGCAGCAGCAAACCTGAAACAAGAGCAGCAGCAAGCCCTGCTGCTGCACGCCTCCTGCCCCGAGAGAAGAATCCCGGGTTCAGCAGCAAATCCATCTGCTGCTGCTGCTGCTGCTTCCATCTAGAGACACTATCAACAAATATCTCCCCAACGCCAGATAGCAGCAAAACAAGAGATATCAGAGCACCAACACCTGTCTTTCCTAGGCCTTTGACTTTGTTCTTATCAGCAGCAGCAGCAGCACCTTCGCCTCCCTCTGCAGGAGGTGCTTCGGCCCCCTCCTCCCCTTGCTGCTGCTCATGCTGTTGCTGCTGATCGTTCCCCCGCTGCATCAGATAAATTATAAAAGCCAGCGAAAACCCCACAGCACCCAACAGAGCTGTACGTACACCGCGTCGCCGCCAACCCGATTTAGGAGAGGCCTCAGGAAACAAGCTAAATATTAAACTCTGAGGAAATGCATCAGCAGCAGCAGAGCCGCCTCCCTGTCTCTCTAACTCCACTGAAAGCGGTTCATCCATTGCTGGAGCAGCAGCAGCAGCTGCTGCTGCTGCTTCTGCTGCTGCTGCTGCTGCTGCTGCGGGTCGGGATCCCAATGCTGCTGCTTCTGGTGCTGCTGGCGGCTCTGCCAAGGCAACACCCACCTCGTACATGTCGTCTTCTGCTGCTGCTGCTGCTGCTGCTGCTGATCCTGCAGCAGCAGGCACAGTGCCCAACTCATGCGAGACGGTGAGAAACAGCAGCAACACCGCCGCCATCAGGCAGCGGATGCAGAGGAAACGAATAGCCATTGTGGCTCCTGGTGTTGTTGCTGCTGCTGCTGCTGCAGGTCGAGAGAAAGCAAATAATAAAGTTGTTGGATTCTTCCCTCTCAGCTTCGATGTCACGTCTGCCTACCGAGCGATCTGGTGTACGTACACCTGGAGAAAAGGAGGCGTTCTGCTGCTTGTTGCAGCTCCTACAGGAGAATTGACTCTAACTGCAATGATAAAAAGCAGAAGAAGCAACAGAAGCTAAGAAGAGAAAAAAGAAGGAAACGCCCAGTAGCAGCAGCAGCAGCAGCTGCTGCTGCTGCTGCTGTTGCTGCTGTTCGAGCTGAGCGCCGCACGGACGCGCCTCGGTTTGCTGCTGCAGAGAGCACAAAAAGATGAAAATATTAAAAACAAACCTACTTCAATTAGAACAACAGACTTTAATGTTTATTTACAGCAACAACCTCCCCGAAACTGTAGCAACACCAGCCCCGCGGGACGACGCAGCAGCAGCAGTAGCAGCAGCAGCAGCATCGCTCGCGCTTCTAGGCGCCGCACCGGGCTTTCTTTAGTTTTCTTTGTTATATTCAATGAATTGTTTGTTAGTTATTTAATTAAATTAATTTATTATCATTACTATTATCGTTGTCATTGATATTATTAATATTATTATTATTACTTCTTTGTTTATAAACGCCTTCCGCTCTTAATGCAGCGTTTTTCTGTCGGTTGTTCGTTGTATTGCACAACGAACGCAAAAGTATATCAATATTAAAGTTTTATTTTTAAAGGTTATACATAATGCATATAACAGAGAGTAAATATAATTAAAGGGCTTATGGACGGGACATAATATTATATATTATATATATTATGTATACTATACATATACAACATATATATATATATATATATATATACATATAAATATTGTTTATGCATCTAACATATTCACTCATACACCTTTCTGCTTTATTTACTTATTTACTTCATACACCGTTCTACTTTATTTACTTATTTACTTCAACAGAAAAACGTTTACTAATGGCTGCTGCCCTTGCTTCTGCTGCTGCTGCTACTGCTGCCCTTGCTTCTGCTGCTGTTGCTGCTGCTGCCTATGCTGTTCTGGGCACCTCCATCAGCAGGTGCCCCATACTGCTCCTGCTGTTGTTGTAGCAGCAGCTGCTGCTGTTGTAGCAGCAGCTGCTGCTGTTGCTGCAGCAGCTGCTGCCGCTGTTGCTGTTAATGCATCAACAACCAAGCGAACAAAGAGTAAGAAAAAGGGGGTTTAAAAGAGCAGTACTGCAGTTGGAGAGGCAGAGAGGAGACAGAGAAATGCAGCAGCTAGCTAGCTAGCTAGCCAGCTAGCTGACTACCCCTGGCTCGTGGTGAAGCAAAAGCAGGAACACACACCTTCCTCAGCAGCAATAAACATCAGATGCATGCAGATAGACTGAAAAGTACACAAAAAGAAATCAACTCGCACCCCCCTTGCTGTAGCTGCCGCTGCTGCGCGCATTTGCTGCTGCAGACAGCAAAAGACGCAAGAAACAGAGAATGGAAGGGCTCCTTTAAACCCTCAGAAGTTTGTCTCCCTATACACCCCACGAACTCCGTTATGGGAGCTGCCTATACACCCCGCGCGAGGAGCGTCGGGTGTATAGGCAGCTCTACTCGGGCTTGCTGCTTGCTGCTTGTTGCTGCAGTTTGTTGCTTCTCCCCGTTCGCTTTGTTAGAGGCAGCAGAACTCACCCCACAAACAAATGCACAAAGAGACAGACACCTCAGGAGGCAAAACAAACGAAACCCTCCTCCGCTCAACATCAGCAAAACTGCAAACACAAATTACTATAAAGAGCTGCCGGGCGTACAGAGACACAACAGCAACTCCAACTAACGCTCCCTCAGGTGTATGTACACCCCATATACTCAGGTGTATGTACACCTCAAACGCTGAGCTGTATGTACACCCCATATACTCGGGTGTATGTACACCTCATACACTCAAGTGTACGTACATCTCATACGTTGGGGTGCATGCACACCCCACAAACTCAGGTGTATGTACACTTCATACGCTGAGGTGGATGTACACCCCACAAACTCAGGTGTATGTACACTTCACAACACTCGGGTGTACGTACACCTTAAACGCCGACGTGGATGTACACTCCATATACTCACTCAGGTGCATGCACACCTCATACAAGGAGGTGTACGTACACTGCACATACAAAGAGGTGTATGTACACCTGATATAGAGAGGTGTTATGTACACCGCAGATCCACAGGTATATGTGTGCATACACTGCACAACACACAGAGTTGAGCATACATCTCGCAAACAGAGGTGAATGTACACCGCACGTACAGAGGTGAATGTACACCGCAGACGCCGGCCCCAGCGGCTCCCTTGCTGAGGTGTACATACACCCCAAGGAGGCGCGGAGTACTCCCCACACAACTCTGCGTCCATCAGCAAACGAAGGAAAACAAACTCTAACCCCCAACCTCAATGTAAGCCAACACCTCAACAAACACGCCGCACCCAGCAGCTGCAGCTGCAGCAAATGCTGCAGCAGCAGCTGCTGCTGCTGCTGTTGCTGTTCCTGCAGCACGCCAGCGGTTGTTGCTGCGGGTTGCTACAGCAACAGCAGCAGGAGTAGCTGCAGCATCATTAGGCGGTATTTGTTTTAAGTGGGGTGTATGCGTCTGTTTAGGGTAAAGGGGTGGTGCTTGCAGGCGTTTGCATGCAATACTTGTTGCTGCTGCAGCTGTGCTGCTGCAGCTGTCCCTGTCTCTGCAAGAAGTTGTTTGCTGCTATGTCTCCTCTTCTGGTGTATCTCCACCTTGGTGGGGTGTGGGGCTGTAGAAAGGCCAGCTGTCTCTGTCTGGCTGTCCTAGCAGCAAACCCCAGCCCTCAGGAGAGACTTCTGCTGCTGTGTCTGCTGCTGCTAATGCTGCTGTGTCTGCTGCTGCTCCTCTTTCTTGGGCGCCTCGCCCTGTCTCTGCCGCTCTTTCTGCTGCAGTTTCTGCTGCAGTTTCTGCTGCTGTCTCTGCTGCACTTGTGTCTCCCAGTGTCTCTGTAGGGGCCCCACGAAATATCCTCCCCAGTCGTATCATATACGATTGCTGCTCTTTGGCGTTTAAAGGCAACACATCTTCAGGTGTAGAGACACCGGAGACACTCTCCCAGTCAATCTCCCCCTCCTTTGCCTCCATACCCTTGCGCTCAACCTGCTGCTGCTGCTGCTGCTCGTGTTCTGCAGGCACACCCTGCTCCTGCGGCTCCCCTGAGGCATCTGCTGCGCCCTCACCTTCTGCTGCTGCTGCAGTGTCGCCTGCTGCAGCAGCAGCTCCAGAGCTCCCTGGGCTACCTTCTCCAACGGGGTGAAGAAGGTCTGCTGCTGCTGCAGCAGAGTCACCTGCTTCTGCTACTTCATACTCCTCGAAGCCAAACGCCTGATCTCCCTCCTGCTGCAGCAGCTGCTGCTGCTTCTTTGCTGCTCTCCTAGAGATAAACCGCCTTAAAAGCAGCAGAAGACCCACAACTGCCAAGACAGCTGGGAACACCCTAAGCTCCCGCTGCTGCAGCAGCTTCTGTCCCTGGCTTGCTGCAGTTATGCTGCTGCTGCTGCTGCCGCCGCCGCTGCTGCTGCTGCTGCTGCTGGCAAAGACGAGAGCAGCAGCAGCTGCAGCAGCCAGCAGCACCTGAAGAAAACCACTCAATGCCCTGGGGCCTTCTGAAGCTGCGCGCCTCTGACTAAAGGAAATCAGCACTTCCACCAACCCCGACAGAACAAGTGCTGCAGCAGCAGCAGCAACAACACCTGCTAAACCAGCAGCAGCAGGTGTTTGCGAAGGCTCGTCACGCTGCGTTAGCTGCTGCTCGTCTTTGTCTTGACTGCCTTCTTCACTTCTTTGTCTACGCTTCCGTCCAGCTGCAAGAGCAGCAATGAGAACAAGAAGGCCGATACCCGCTGTCTTTACCCCTCGAACCTTTCCTGTAGCAGCAGCAGGAAAGCCGCTGTCAACAGCAGCAGCAGCAGCAGCAGAAAAGCGAGACGGCTCTACATCGATAGGCAAGTCAACATGTGTGTGGGGGAGCGATTCAAGAAAGCCTCCGTCTTCTGCTGCTGGTGGTGATACTGCTGCTTCTGCTGCTGCTGCTTCTGCTGCTGCTGCTTCGGATGCTGCTGCCACAAAAGCCTGCAGCTCTCCTCCTGCATTACCGCCATAAGGAGAGCTCCAGCTAGCTTTTGCCGCCCCCGCAACAAGGGCAAGAGTACAGATAACCCCCGCAGCCTCCCGCATCCTCGGGTCCCGCAGCTAGCTGAACAGCTAGCTCAGCTAGCCACTCAGCTAGCCCAGCTAGCTGGGCAGCTAGCTGCACCCCTTGCAGCAGAAAGCAGCAAACCTGCTGCTGCAGTGCTCTTGCCTTACAGCTTTATATAGACGATGCTAGAGAGGCGGCGCCGCGCCGCTGCAGAGGGAAGAGAGAGAAACCTTCTGAGGTTGGATCAGACTAAGGAAAAATAAACTAAAATAAACATAATTATATATAAGAGAAAATATCGTTTTCCCTCGAAGCCTGAGTGAAGTCTGCACCGGGGCAGCAGCAGGGAGCAGCAGGCGGCTGTAAGACGCAGCAGCAGCAGCAGCAGCAGCAGAGGAGCAACAACCGCTGGAATTGCTTTTTTTTGTGTTTTTTCCTTAAAATAAACTAAATATTAATACAATACATCAACAGAACAATCAACAAATATGAAAGAGGCACAGCGACATTGAAATACTCTGCTCGGGTCTCGGTTTTGCATGCATAGTACGAGACGCCTCGGGGCTTTGTGTAAGGCCTGTACAAGACAGAGCAGAGGTGATGTTGTCTAGTTTTTTCTTTTTTTTGTTCTCATTTTCTTCTTCTCTTATTTAGAGCATTTTGTGAGGCTATCATTACCTTCTCGTTGCTGCGATCTTGGCCGCTGTCTTCTCCATTGTACTTCCCCCGCCCCCTCCTTCTGCAGCTTAATCTATCTGCAGTTTGTACATATACTCCTACCTGCATGCAGGCTGCTTACTAAGGGCGAAGTAAACATATAACAACTGTGTACAGTGCTCGCGCATGCAGCAATGGCGGCTTAGCCGAGGCTGGATGAGGGGTTGCTGTACAGTGAGTGTTTTTTGTGTAACTAGTACGGGTATCTCTCTACCCGAGTGCAGGCTGGCTAATGAGTTCTAATTAACTGATTAAGAACAGTCTACAGTACTATCTCAATTAAAAAAGGCTAGTGGTTTTGCATACACTTGGGGCTATCCTGCAGTATTAGCTGCACCAATACGTGTAGCATCGTATAGCAAGCAGCAACACGTCCTTTGGTGGCTGTTCTGAAGATGCTGAGGTGTATGGACAAAGGTTTAGCTGTTCTTTAGGCCCCCTATGTTTAATCTTTTAACTCTGCTGCAACTCACCTCGAGTGAAGGGCCCTTCTTGTTGTTGTTAGCATCTCTTGTTTATAGAAGATGCGAGCAGCAAACTCAACATGTACGGCAGCCTAGAGGCCTGCTGCACAGCATATAAAGTCCTATTATATTAAAAGATTTTTAAAAAATATTACATAAAAAAGTAATTTAATTGGAAGAGAAAAAGAAATTAACAATTGCTTATAATTGAGGACCCGAATCCGGATGGAGTTTAGCTTAGAAGCAGTTTTCCTTTAAAAACGAGCGTAGCCCTTATTTAAAGTTAAAATAAGGGCTACGCTCGTTTTTAAAATTCGATTATATATTTTTAAAGATATATTCGATGATATCTCTTTTAAAATATATCATCGAATTTTTAGTAAAAAATGCTAAAATTATTGAGAAAAATGTATGTTATATATATTATACCCATAGTAATAGTAGTAGCATACCTTATTTGGAAATAGGGTAAACGCAAGAACATCATATAATACTCTTTTAAAATTTGCATGCACTTATGCGTCTTTGTCTTCCTCTTTTGCAAATCAGTGATGCAGAACATCTTCCGTACGGTGAAGAAATAACAATACTGTGGGTAGCTTCTTCGCTTAAGCAGCTCTTCAGCTGATATGTTGTGCTTGAAGTAATAAAAAGACATGCAAAGGAAAAATAAGGAGATAAGGAACACTATAAGTTCTGCCTTAGAGGCGTTTAGTTATAACCTGACACAGGATAGCTAGTTTTTTTAGTTAGCCGCATAAAATAAGTATCTGGAGCAACTATCCTTCTAGAAGTAATTAATTACTTAAGTAGTAATTAAGTAATTGACAACTCAATCGAAAGTAATTAATTAATTAAGTAATTAGTTACTGTCAAAGTATCAAATTTACCCATAGGGTAAAACCAAACTGTCTAAAGACGGTTTCCTTTTACAGGAAAAAACAACTGATAAATGATGCCTCTGCCTTTGCCGACTGTCTAGAGATGTGATGGGCATCGTTGTAAAGAAGGCTCTGAAGGAGTTTCTTCTTTATCTTGAGTTGTTCAAGATAATCTGTCGATACTGTCGATACTGCATTTGTTTCTCCACCTATTGGCTTCCTCCCCTGAAGAGGGCAGATCACGGTACCCCTCATGGAGAAGAGGGTTTAAAAGAATATATAGAATTTATCATTTGTGCTTCAAAGCAACTTCATTACAATTCATGTGCTCTATAAGCAGCCGAGCTGCCGGAGTGGGTGAGATGCGTTGCTATTGCCTTCTTCTATGAAACATGCAGCGCCACCCACTGAAAAAGACTCTGAAGGTCTAGAGAAGAACTATCTTGAGCGACAACAGAGTCAAAATAATAAAAAGGGAAGAGTTTCTAAAACTCCTCCCATATGCCCGCCAGACATTCCAGGCATCTTCTACATAGCAGCTCAAAGATATGTGAATAATGCGGAGAGTGTTTACCCCGTTTAGTGCTGCACCAAACCTCTAAGTAATCGCTGCTGCAAGGCAATTCCGCATGATATTATAGAAAAGAAAATACTATATGTATGCCGCCGCGTTGTAGACTGCGGATGAACGCTAGCCTGGCCCTCTGTAGCCACCCAGCATTCAAAGAGAAGAGCGCGCACTCACTTGAGATAGAACATGCTACAATGGCTACACACCTCATGCTTTAAAGCGATGAGACTAAAGGTTTGAAGGAACTGCAGGGAATATGGAAGGCAACGAGACTGAGAGGCAGGGAGATATACAATGCAAAACAATACAGTGAGTGTCACTATGACAACAGCACTGAGATGTACGCATAAAAATATATATATATATATATATCGTGATTACCGATACTGCCTACAAACACAGAGCACACAACAACTGAAATCCAGGCGAACACCGAAGAGAAAAAAAGCCTTGAGATGCATACGTCGAATGCACATACCGATATCATGTACAAAGCAAGCGTTCCAGTGAGTTTGTTGTTGCCGTTACGTCTGGTTGGTATTGCGATCTCACTTCCCTTCATTACTTAGAGCAGAGCAAAGCCCATTCTGCTTGCCCCTCACTTGCGTGCTTACTCCCCCCTTCATATGCCATTTATTCATTAAGCGAAAGTTTGAAGCAAAAGAACTTAGCTTCCGTTCCACTTTCGGCTAAGCCCTGGCCAAATACGAATGCCGAACGTCGGCGGTTTCACGCAGGCAGCTTTTCTTTGTGCGTGTCGTGCAGCTTGGCTCAACTGTGCCCATCTCTCCGGGAAGTGGAGATCCTGAATAACTTCCTTAACCACTTCTTCCAGCGGTTTGTTTAAAGGCTCCCTATGCGGAATGCGCTGAACAGTGACTGCTTTCTGCATGTCTGTGCAGTTAGCACACCGATACGCTTCCCTTTAACTTTGCACCCACAGTTTACGTACGGCAGTGTGATTGGTTGAGCACTAAGATAGCAGCTTTACATTGAGTTCACACAGAATTCACAGACGCCATCGTGATAGAAAGGAATCCGAGCAGGGCAGAAGCCGCAAGAAGTGCAACTGTCTTCTGTCTGAAGCTTTACAGCCCGTGTTTGCGGCTATGGATGCACGTCTATCGCTCCACTTGCTCAACGTTTTTGCGGTGCCTCTACGAGGCAGCTAGCCACCAGCGTGGCTACCCAGTTGGAAGGCCTTAAACCCCGCTTCTCCCTGGCTTTGCCACATTAATGCAGCTTTTCAAGTACCGGTATGTTAAGCCATGCTTCATTAAGTGCCTGCTTAAGGCCCCTCCGACGTTTTCTTTGAAAGCCTCGAAGAAGGTTTCGTGGAGTCCAGTTGGGGCGAATATCTGAGTCGTTCACTAAAACTTTCATTACAGAAAACGGCCAGTCAAAATGGTACTGAGCTGGCCGGTCGATATGCAGGCGCATTTTGCATCCCATAGGCAAATGCGTCAAAGTGGTTTCCACCGACTACACGGTGTTGGTCTGCACAGGCGTTGAGGCACGAATACAACGTAGAATTGGCTGCTTTGCAACTTAGCTACGGTGTTGCTGATCTCAAGCTATTCAGTAATTGATGGTGAGATTCAATGGTATAGCAATTATTGCTGTGTGCACGTCATTTTCTGAGACGAAAAGGTAAAACAACGAGAATAAAGTTAGCACGCAAGTGTTGACATTTGTTGCAGTTCCCTGGAACAAGATATCACCAAGTGTTTTTTGTCTACTGTATCACCACTTGGCGTGTGTTGAAGAGCAAAATGCCCTCTTCTTGGCTGTTCCCGGGCTGCTTAAGCTTGACATCAAAACAACACACAAACAGAGCCTCAGAGCTCTTCGCATCAGCACGACGCGACTGCAATTCTTCCAGCGCCTGCCATTCCCAGGGAGGAGCAGCGGGGGAAGCATCGAAAGAAAGAAATAAGCATGTGTTTGTAGGTTCCCCCAAAGCGAGTGGCTCCTTGCACACATGCAAGAGCAGCGGTCTCCGCTTTTCACGCAGGGGGGATACTAGGTACTATATTTCAACCCAATATCCTTTGTAGTCTAAACATCAAACACTTCAAAAGAGCCTCATACCAGAACTAATCCAGAACTAATGATTTTTTCACTACATCTTGATACACTACCTTTTGTAATTTAACAGAACACAAACATCTAGAGCAGCTCATACTTCCGTCGGCGCAATCGCAAACATTCAAGAATGATGGCTCTTTTTCTAATATATTTTGCTCTACCGTCTTCCGTAGCAGTGCAGACATAGAGCAATTGATGCGCATGGTACCAACCACAAGCAATTGTCATTATAGCAAGCTCAGCCTAGGAAACAGGGAGCAAACCATCTCGTGTAAAGAAGATCAATGCGATCATCCAGAATCTGGAAGGCAACAGCCACATACTCCTAGCGGGTGAAGTCTCCCATTACCTTTTTGCCTTTTGAGCACCTTCTTCATGCGATGAGTGCCCCTAGTTAATTTCTCCATGTTCCCCTCCCCCGCCTGTAGAGTTTCGTTTCAGTTTGGAGACGAACAAAACCCATGCATGAGAGCCCCCCAAAGATATGCTTTCCACTCCCCCAACCTGCTGCAAATGCGTGCCCTCCTTCACACGTCGATTAACAAGAAAACTGGCCGAACCCCCCTCAGATGGGGGCTTCGAGGGTGGACAGATTACTATACTTGGTACGGGCTGTAGCGGATTTAGCTGCTGCACCACTTCTGCAGCATTAGCGGCGAGAGTCGCTACTACAGTCGGCCCCCGTCTAGGGTAAATGTGCTCGGTTCCGCTGTTGATCCGGCGCCCCACCAAAGCGTGCTGCAAGTTCTTCAAATCCTGCATCTATTGCTTCCTGACTTGGCTGACCAGGACCGTTGTTGGGCATAAAATCCTCAAACGACTCGTGGCCTATTTGTGTTTCGCTTTGTCCCCATGCGCTGAGGTCGAGCGCTTCTCCGTAGCTGCCTAGAGGACCCGCCGGGTATGCTGTTTCTGAAAGCGAAGGATATCCCTCCGGACCCCAGTGCGAGGCGCTCCCACGCTGCGAGGCGAATGTCTGCAACGGCGCCGTCAAAGGCGCCGCCACCCCGCCCTCTGCTCCCCCAAAGAGTTTTTCAAGTTGCGCGAATGCGTCATCTATTGTTTCCTGATTTGGCTGGTCGCCTTCTTCACTTGGCGAGGGGCTTGCGTCGGGTGTCTCGTGGCCTATTTGTGTTTCGCTTTGTCCCCATGCGCTGAGGTCGAGCGCTTCTCCGTAGCTGCCTAGAAGAACCGCCGGGTATGCTGTTGCTGAAGGCGAAAGAAATTCCTCCGGTTGAAGGGAAGAAGGGGGCGAAGGCCGCGAGCCCGGTGCCCCTCCCAGAAGAAGCGACAACCATTGCAAAATGGCCTCCCCTACACGTCCTTCCTTGCCTGCAGATGGAGGAAAGCCTTCATCTGCCCATTTGGTCTGCAACGGCCAGGCTCCCGCGGCCCCGAAAGGGGAGGGGAAAGAGTATAAATCTGTATGCCCCTGGTCGGATGAGGGAGAAGGATCCCGAAGCCATGATGAGCCAGAAGAGCTCTCAGCGACATTGGGTGGCAAGGCGAATGCTGCAGGCGAGGCATATGAGACTGCAGAGGGGGGGGAGGCTTTAGGCGGTCTCGTTGAAGACGGCAGAGCAGCAGAAGCGGTGGAAGGCTCTTGAACAGGAGGAACTGGCGCCGAGGCATGAGGCGCAACAGCAGTAGCGGCAGAAGCACCCTCTTCGACGGAACTAGGCGGAGGTCTTGGTAAGGTGTCAGTAGACGGTAAAGGGCTGGATGATCTCCCACCAGACGTGGTACCGCTGGCCTTGAGCATCCACCTGGGTTGCGGTGCAGCTTCTGCTCCAGTGTCATCGGACACTGAAGAGGAGCGTGTACTTCCTGCCGCAGCGGTCGGCAAGCGCTGTGGAGGTGCAGTTGAAGCAGCAGTGGGAGACACTGAGCTGGGGCCAGACGGGGGCTGCAAAGGCCCTTGCTTCCTCTTAGGAGCCGTAGCACAAGCAGTATCAATAGTCTCGCTGTTGGACGCGGAGACGGGTACGGATCCCGTAGCGCTGTCACTCGCTCTTGAGTCTTGGCAAGGAACCCTTAGCACCCCTGGAGGGAGCGGAGCATGGCTTGGGTCCTCCGAAGGAGACACCTTGTCTTCGTCGGAATTCCCGACAGAGGAGGAGACGGTTGGCTGCTGTACCTGGACATCGTCTGGGGGAGTAGCCTCTGTACTCTCTGCGGCACTCGCTCTCAACCCCAGAGGAGTGCCCCGCAGGGCTGCTAATAATTCGCTGTGGCTCTTGAGGCGACATCGGGACAGCCTACTATAAAATGGAGCGTCAAAGGCCCCCTGGCGGTCGCTCTTAATCATATTCCTTAGCCAGCCACTGATGCACATATCCGTAAAAATCTGTTCCCTGCGTTTGTTCGCGGTTTTTTCGATAGCTCTAAGTGCCTCAGAAACGCTAGCGGCTGCAGCGGCCTCAGCAGCTGCAGCGGCCTCAGCGGCCTCAGCAGCTGCGGCAGCCTCAGCAGCTGCAGTGGCTTCAGCTGCTGCAGCAGCTGCAGCGGCTTCAGCTGCTGCAGCGGCCTCAGCAGCTGCAGCGGTTTCAGCAGCTGCAGCGGCTTCAGCAGCTGCAGCAGCTTCAGCGGCTTCAGCAGCTGCAGCGGCTTCAACAGCTGCAGCGGCTTCAGCAGCTGCAACGGCTTCAGCAGCTGCGGCAGCTTCAGCAGCTGCAGCGGCTTCAGCGGCTTCAGCAGCTGCAGTGGCTTCAGCAGCTGCAGCGGCTTCAGCAGCTCTAGCGGCTTCAGCAGCTGCGGCAACAGCATCTTTGTGTAATTGCATACTCTCCTTCAGCCACCCGAACCCTAAAGCGAGTTGTCGACAGAGCTCCTCCTGCAACTCCAACAGAGACATGACCTTCAAGGGCCGATCCATGTCCTCGAGGACCTCTGGACTGGGTTGTACTGCAGTTAGTGTATCAACAGCGGTGTGGAGACAGGATATACGCCTCCGAGATTGGCGGGGAAGCTCATCGTTATTCAAGCTGGCGCGGAGTGGTCCAATTCTGCCAAATATCACAACAAGGTGTTCTTCTACGGCGCCCCTCTCTTCCCCCTGCAACAGGGATAACAAAGCGGAAAACTCCGCCAAGAGCAAACGTAACAAATTGATAAGTAACCTAGCTCTCGCACTATTTTCCACCTTCTTCATCAGCGATGTGTTGGACGTAAAAAGAGACGTAAGTCCCTCGAGATTTTCGACAAGCCGATCCGACAATTTCTGATCAATACTAGCTGCTGCCTGTGGCTCCCCCTGCTGTTCCTGATCAGCAGCAGCAGCAGCAGCTGCAGCCGCAGGGTGGGGTCCCTCCTCCGAATCGCTACAAGGCCCTCCCGGGTCTGCATTCGACGTGCCTTCTGCTCCTGCAAGAAATCTCAGTGCCGCTCTGCTTTTGCTGGAGTTCACCAAATAAACAGCGCAGCGGAGCACAAAGTACGCTGCTGCAACAACAGCAATCACTGCGAGGCTCGCCACATTGATGCTGAACCATCCAGAGACGTCACTCCTTTTCTGTCTGAGGCTTCGCGAAGTAACAGGCAATGCAACCTCTTCAGGCGAGGTCTCCCAAGCACTGTCGTCCCAGCCCAGCAGGAGCAGCGGTGGTGGGCAATCGCCAGGTTCTGCTGCTGTTTCAGCATGCATGGCACCCCGCCAGCTTGAAACAAAGAGATACAGTGGCTGGAGGTTTGAACAGAAAATTGAAGAAATGAGCAGCCAGGGGGGCAAGGAAGGATCAAAGGAAAGAAAACTGCAGTAATGAAGGCGTTCCCGGCGTATATTGGCCCGTATTGGGTCGCCTATAAAAAACGAGATTCCCTAAAGTGCCTGTGACGAACGAACATTTTTCAGTTCTATAGTGCACGTAAAGACACTGAATAACTGTTCGTTCAAGAGTTTAACGCCAATATATAGAAATGGCTTACGGGCGCTGCTACTCTAGCGAGCACCTTGGGGATCGTTATAAAAGACAAACAGAGGAGACAAAAGAAGTATCGCCTGGATCTTATTACCTCACTTAAATAATGTTATAACCAAAAATAATTGTTGTTATTTCCGGCAAACGGACTTTTCGAGCAAGCAACGCGTCCACTGGATCTCGGCGGCCAGGCCCACAGGGTGTCTTCCGCCCCGTAAGCGTAGTGGAGCTGCTACTGCTCCTTCGGTTGCTGCTGCAGTTGTTGCACTGAAATTGTCTTGTTTGATTTAAATCAAGTCATTTAATGTATTTATAAACACGGGGAGAGAACTATTTCCCAGGAAACACGCGGTATTGCAGGGCCCGCTGGCCCCCGCACATTCCTAGGCGAGTACAAAGGCCAGAGCCGGCAGCAAGGCTTGCTCATATTGATACAGCAAGACTTCTTTAACTCTCCTATCTTACTCCTGTTTAGACTTAGTAATGTGTACTGCGTTAGTTGATTGCGTTTGGCTGGGGCAGCGCGCTGCAGGGACTTCCTCAGCCATACCCCCATCTGTCTCGATATCTGCTGAAGCATGCCTGTTGGCATGCTTAACCCGCCTTCCTCTGTCTTCATTTTCGTCACCGTGTGCATCATTTTGCTCAGCTATACAATGTTTCATTTCCCTCTCTCCTCGCTGCCCCTGCTTTCTTCCCTTTTGCCTGCTTCTGAACTTTTTGCGGAAGAGCAGATGCGCAAGCTCGGGGCTGCCCCTCCCATTTGATACGTCGCCGAGCCATGCTAGCTCCAGCTGCAGCTGAAGAAACAGACAGCATTATCATGCACGTTCATCAGGAGCAGCGCTGCCCTCATGCAGCAGGCAGCAACTCGAGTAGCGCCTGCAGCAGCAGCACAACAAAGCAACTGGCGCATCCACTGCAGCAAGAACAGCAGGACCAGTCAGTGAAGCAGAGGCGCCAGCAAGGCCAGCCTCTGGATGAACAGTAGAACAGTAGCTTCAAGACCACCGATTGAAGCTTTAGGAGGAGCAGCAAGTCAAGCAGGAGCAGCACGAGCAGCATGTAGCATGATCCCTTCTGGCTGTGCAGAGGGCTGCTCGTGGATCCGTCTGCTGTCTTCTTTGCCTCTTTAATGCTTGGTTACGCTGGTGCGCCTTTTCAGGCATAACATTGCGTATTGCTTGAAGGGCAGCTACTGCTCTGGGCTCAAGGCGGTTTCTTGCGCTTCCCTCGAAGCCCCCGCAAAGTGCGTAGCTGCACAGAGTTCGTGCTCCCCCCCACACGAAGACTTCCCGTGGGAATACGCCACTTTAAATGCTGTTTTCAGAACGAATACGATCTATAATGACCAAGACAAAGACAGTTTCACTACAAAAGGAGCAGAAGCAGAAGGGGCCGTACCAGTGGCCCCGCATCTGCAAGGCGGAACCCACCCTGAGCCTCGCCACCGAGGTCCAGCCGAATGCTCGGAATGAGAATCCCGTGCGCAGGGGATTAAAACATGTTTACTTAGATATTTGTTAAAATATCTCGGAAGGATTCCTGCAGTGCATTCTTTCGTCGCTTCTGCAGGCCCTACAACAGAGATCCGGAGGCGGGCTAGCGGCACCAGTAGGGCGTTTGTCCCATATTCCGGTTCCTGTGCTGAACACAAGGTTTTTCGCTGTTTTCAGATGCAGTTTAGGAAAAAATTGAGTTTCTTTTTTCAATGGCAATGAAAACGCAGAGGAGCTCGTTTCCCAGAGGCTATGCGATAGACATTTAAAGGGAGGTGACGCAGAGGGGACCCCTCTTCCACAGCGGTTGCTTTCCTTTGTTACTGGCCCTTCTCTGCCCGGTTCTTCCCTGAATTTTTTAAATATCTCCCGTCTCTGTTTTTTGTGTGTAGCTTACGGGGAGCCATGCAGATCGCAGCAGCAGCAGAACCGGGCGCTCGCCAGACGTTGCTGCTGGGTGGCCGCGGCAGTTTCTTGGAAGTTTCCCATAAAGAGGCTGTCTTACCTGTTACTATGAAAAGGCTCCCACAGAGGCGAAATGCGGGCTTTGGGGGGCTTAGCGCCAGTGTGGCGGTGCTCGCAGCAATCTCTGCTGTTGCATCAGCTTACTTAGTACTCCGCTGCGCCAAGTATATGGCGAACGCCAGCAAGAACACGGAAGCATTGAGGTTTCTGGCAGATGCACACGGGAAGACGAATAAAGAACCGCGAGAGCCTTGCAGCGCTCCGGAAGAGGAGCCCCCTGCTTCAGCCGCAGCTGCTGGTGCAGCTGCTGCTGCAGGGGAGGAGGAAGAGGAAGAAAGCCTGGTTAAACAGGAACTCTTGGAACGGGTTTTCCTTCATGCTGTTGAACTGAATCGATTAGTGGATATCAGCGAGCCTGTGGTGCGGCAGCTGAAACCCAATATGGGAGCCCAGTGCATATCAGTGTTTTTGCGTCTGGCGTTGGTGGAGCTTTCTGCAATGTTCGCCTTGTTGGACGAAAATGAGAGGTATCACGTGAATAGAGAAGTACGCAGACTTTACAGTCAAATATGGACACTCCGCAATAGCATAGGAACCATGGGCATTTCCACGTCACGGTATCGGCATATCAAATGTCTCCACGTATTCCTCGGCAGGCTCAAAGAAGTCAAACCAGTTACAGCCGCTCTCGGGGAGAGGCAGAGGCTGCTGATGATCAAACAGCTGCTGCAGCTGCAAGAGATGGCCTTGGAGCAACTTAACACCGGATTATTCTGGCTGAGTGTGTGTGTGAAAGACCCAACGAAGGCGCATGATAACGCCAGGGCTGCTGCTGCAACTGCTCACGGCTGTGCTGTTGCTGCTGAAGGTAGTGCAACTGCTGCAGATGCTCGCGTTGTTGCAGTTGTCAAGTCTATGGAAGTGACGGTGAGCAGACGCAGGGCGCAAGTTCTTGGCGATCCGCTCCTAAGCGGTTGGCTGCGGGAGTTGCACACAGAAAACATTCATTATGGCCTTATTGTTCGTGAAGCTATCCTTAGGCTAACCCGACCAAATAACCAAAGCCATCGCGAACGCGTAAAAGCTTTGCAGGACACTCCGCTGGCACAGGGAGACGAACCCTGGAAGTCCACTGACCTGAACGTTATCAAAGCACAGGAGTCAGCCGCGGCATCCACCGTCGGCGGGCTTCTCATCCCAGGAGATCATGCGTCACCTGGAGGGGAAAGACTTGCTTCTCTGTCTCCGAGGCGATCGAAGGTTTCTTCCCAAGACGCAAGGAGAGGGAATGGCACGGCGGGGGCCACTCCCGTTTCATTGCCTCCCAGCACGTCCACTGCTGCTGTTGCTGCTGCTGCTGAGGGAGGTCAGGAGACTTTTAGAAGACCCAGCTGCCATATGGAGGAGCCTCTCCTTGGTGTGTCTAGTGCGCTTTCACAGGTATCTGCACCTGCCGCTGCAGGCCGTTCTCAAATTGCTACAGTTTCCGCTGCTCTCCGACGGGCTGGTCTCCCTTATGTCAGCACTAACCCTCTGGAAGCCACATGGGTCTCCATGGCTTCTGGCGTCACTTCTGTTGGGAAATCGTCCAACTCCCACCTTTCTCCTGAAGAAATCCCGAGGGCTTCGCAAGGCTCCTTCAGGGCAGCTGCTTCTGCTGCTTCCGCTTTCTCCCCTGAAGCCTTCGCTTTGTCGACGGCAAACGCTGGCACTCAGCGGGTTGCACCTGCCGTTTCATCTGGTGCATTTTGGCCTTCATTAGTAACCTATGGCAAATTGCCTGTAGACCCGCATACCTGGCCACCAGTATCCGCCTCGTCGCCTGCTGGTTCTAAGAGCTCGCCAGGAGCATCAGGGCCCCGTTTTGGGGGTCCTTTGCTACCCCACGAGCGGCCCCATACAGCTCCTGGCCCTTCTACTTCCAGTTTCGGGGCCGCAAAAGCCCCGCTGTCGCAGACCAGAGGGACATACGGAAGCGCTCTTCAAGGGGCAGCGCAATTTGCGTCGGCGTCTTCGGGCGCATCTGCCTCTCAGCGTCTTCCCGCCTCCACCTTAAGGTCGGTGGAATCTCATTCATCTTCAGAAACAAAACCGCCGGGGATTCCTGTAGACATCTACGGCACGCCACTCGATTTCAGGTTATGGGGGCTAGGCGAAGCAGCCCCCTACAGACCCGTTGCGGGCGTCTGGCCCAATGAAGAGCCCGACGAGCCAAGTCAGGAAGCGATTGATGCAGGATTTGAGCAGCTTGCAAGACTCTTCAGTGGGGCACCCGAGCAACATCCGGGCGAAACAATGCACCCCAGATAGCCACCAGCG